GGAGTTCGCGTGGTCTGGCTGTGAGCTTCCCCGAAGCCCCGTGCTGACCGAACCTGACACTACTAACAATGGTATGTTATATTCTGACATTTAAAAACATCTGGGATGAAAACATCAAGCAAGTCAGTTCCTGCAGAGGCAGTATGGTTCATTTGTGGCTAGAATCAGGAAAGAAGCACAATGCTGCCTGGATTTACTCAGCTGTAATCTCTAGAAAGGATGAGATAGCAGCAGCCAGATTAAAATTAGGATTCCAACTAAACAGATACCAAATAAACCCAGATTTTCAATCAATACACTATCCTGCAAATTTAGGCAAAAGAGTAAGCTTTACTTTCTTTTTGAAAGTAAAAATACCAGTTCTTTTTTTTTTCCTTTACACTATACACACCTTCACTTTTTTCCAGCAGAGAGCCAATGACAGCTTCATTTTCAATAGGATTCAATGAACAGGTAGAGTACACCATTCTACCTCCTTCTGCCAGCTGCTCAACTCCACGAGTTGCAATCCTTAGTTGTAGTCTACATAGGAAATATTGTTCAAAAATTTCAGAGCATGAAATCTGAAATTAGAAATTAACAATATTGTGGACTTCTGGGGGAGAAATGGCAGATTGAATATGGCTCCGTTTTTGTGGAGCTGATGCCTGCAGTAATTAGAGGAGCTAGCAATTGCGTCAGCTCTTCAGAATCACCTCCAGATGAAGGAGATGACAGGATCACTCACAGGCACTCCTGTGAAGAGACCGCAATCTAGCAATCTCCGGCAGATGGAGCACTCTGGGAGTCAAGGGAAAAACATCAAGCCCAAACCATGGTGCAGAGCCTTCAAAAGGACACTAGATTTGCTTTCACTTCCTCTTTTAATTAATATTAGAACCTGCCTATTTATTTGGCAATTAAAAACCTCCTGAAATGCAAGTTGCTGTACACTGGGAGAATTTCCAACTATCCTGGGAGAAAGAAGACTAAAGTAAGTTTAAAAATCAAAAATAAATATTTTAACGTTTGGAAACAGCGAAAGGGAATTAAGAATGCTGATTGGGA